AAATCTAAGAAAAAACTTAATTTAAATAAATGATTAATGTGTCTTTCAAATAAAATCAAAATGTTCATCACTGAAACCATTTTTTCGATTTTGACTAAACTTGTGTTATTAATTCAAAAGTAAATAATTGTAGTTCAAGGGGGCGGATCTATCCCCCCAAATCCCCACCCCCCTGGCTACGCCACTGATTAGCGACACAAAAATGAACGAACTTATATTAATATAAATCTAAGAAAAAACTTAATTTAAATAAATGATTAATGTGTCTTTCAAATAAAATCAAAATGTTCATCACTGAAACCATTTTTTCGATTTTGACTAAACTTGTGTTATTAATTCAAAAGTAAATAATTGTAGTTCAAGGGGGCGGATCTATCCCCCCAAATCCCCACCCCCCTGGCTACGCCACTGATTAGCGACACAAAAATGAACGAACTTATATTAATACAAATCTAAGAAAAAACTTAATTTAAATAAATGATTAATGTGTCTTTCAAATAAAATCAAAATGTTCATCACTGAAACCATTCTTTCGATTTTGACTAAACTTAGTTGACGTTTAAGTCAAATATCTTTCGAACCAACGTAGACAGAGCAAAATCGAAATCAAATTTGGAAAATTCATATTTTTTTTTTTTTAGGTCATTATCACAATTATAAATATTTCATAAAATTTGTTTATATGTATGTATTTGTACCTATTTTTATCACTCACACCCCTAACAAAGCGCACCGTGCAGCGTCTCCTACACCAGAAACAGAATTCTTAAGGGGATGAGGAACTTGACTTTGGATGGGATCGCGGAGGGTGTCGCCACAGAACTGAAGTGTCTGGGACTTATACTGGCTACAATGCTATCATAGCGCAAATGGTGTGTAAAGGTGTAGCGGGAAAATCCTGCGGATGCACTCCAAGGATCCTGAGATCGATGTACTACGTTGGTCGTACGATATACATATGGGCTTCCAAGACTACTCGAATAAAGGTTAGGCAAACTCTCATCAACATTCAAAATCTGAAGGTAATTCTGGAACTCGAGCCACTGCATCTATCAATTAAACAGGCTGCAAAACGAATTCTCCTAAACCCCGCGAGAGGGTGCTTTGGAAAAGTGAAGGTCTTATCATCTAGGAACAGGGACAAGCTGGTCTCCCAGCTCCCTCTAGTTTTGCAGAAAATACAAAAGTATACTTGGTTGTAGTACATGTCAAGTATGGCATACCGTCTCATGATGTATAGACGGGTGTGCACACCAAATTCTAGGTCTGCATACACGTACATATGAAGAAAATTGATATGTTTCAATTTTTCTGCTCGTTGTTGCGGCAGATATGAACGTTTATAGCGTGAAATGCGTGCAGAATTTCATGCTTTATAGAAAATGGTTCTATCTTTAACAAAATCCACGAGCATAAAAGTTCAAAGCTTGCACAGAGTTCACAAAAATAAAACTAATCGAACTTCAAAAAATTTTCATCAAAATTTTAATTTTTTTTTTTCGATTTCTTAGAAACAGTATGAGTATGCAGTTTTGCTGCTGATTCAACTTTGGTTTAATAAAGTGAAGGTTGCAAGTGCATATACCATAGATATAAAGCTTGTTCATAGGAATGTCATTTTAATGAGCTGTTAAGGTGTCGAAACTCCGAATACGGAACAAATACAGGACATTAAAAGAAATACAGAACTATTGGCGCCCGTATAAAATAAATAAATTGCCAGGACAATGCGTCAAAAAAGGGGACTGTCACGTATAATACAGGACGGATGGTCACCGTATTTATAGTAAAATAAGGCACGACTCTCACCTTTTGTAAAGTGCAAAAATGAGTGCAAATTGAAAAATAAATAATAATTATTGAATATTTAATTAAAAATATCCTTGCAGGATTTTTTCAGCCAATGCACTCGAAAATTATTTCCTACCACGTTAAATTTCGTACAAAATGGATTTCATCCATTAAACAGATGGGTGAAAGTCGTGCCTTATTCCGATCTTAGACTACTAAGTTTTCTCTGAGGCCTTGTTCTCGTAAACATTTCCATGTAAGAGTATTTATGATTTTGTATTCACAATTCTATATATATGTACATAAATTTGTCAATATGTTCACATTAATGTATGTAAATATGCAAAGAATTTAAGGAACTTACCTCTCATTATAGGAGAAAAATCGAATACTTTGATACTTCCACGACTTGAGAACTGTCCCAGCAGCATTTCCATATAATAAACTGGTTTTCCAACTAAAAATAATACTATAATATAAGGAATGACGAATGCACCTCCGCCGTTTTCAAGTGCAGTGAAGGGAAAACGCCAAACGTTGCCTAAACCCACGGAAAGTGCAATGCAAGACATGAGGAACTCAATGTCATTTGTCCAGGTATCTCGGTTTTTACCCACAGTTTCGGCAGTGGCAGAGTGGTTGCGAAGCTGGTGTGTGTCCCGCGTTTTCTATGTAAATTTAATAAGATATACAAATTCAATAGCAAATAAGTTTGTAAATGGTATGCACCTATGTACATTAGGGTGGCCCAACATTTTTTTCCTCCAGTCACCCCCCTAACTGAAGAATATCAAAAATAAGGAGGCACATTTTTTTATTATTTTAAAATCGTTTAAGATTTACCCGCGCAGCCGGGGCTTTGAAGTTTCACATGTACTTTCTTGGGGAAAATACATTTTTTCGTAGAGTTGCTATAAAATCGTTAGAAATAAATATTTTTTGATCGAATAAGACTATTTCACTTCAGAAGTCTTAAAAAAAGAACTGTGTGCTTATTTAACTTAAAAATTTTTCTGGGAGTATTTTAATAACCGATCTGTTATATACAAAAATTTGTTATTTTAGGTTTTCATAACCACATCACCCAGGAACAGCCCAATGAAAGTATTTACTTTTTCATTCTTCTCGATTATTTCTCCATTTGATACCCATATTGTGGTATAAAATAAGCTTACATTTTTAATAACCGTTGTTGTATTTTTTAGAAAGGCGGCAACCCCGTACAAACATGTTTTTAACCCTCTTGAAACGCTTTTAGTATTGATGAATAAACTTAATTATTTTATTGAACCTTTAAATAATTTCCGATTTTCAAATATCTGGCAACCCTGTTAATTTTTTTGCCGCTACCACAGAAATAATCGAGTAGATTGAAAAAAAGTAAACACATCCGTTGAGCTGTTCGTGCGTAATCAAAAACATTGATTTTCCTATGTTTGTTTGGTCCACCCTAATGTACATACATATGCATGTATGTATATATGCATGAAAGCTTTTGAATAGTCATCGAAAACCGAAAATATGAACTTTTTAAGAAATGNAACATTAACACCGAATTAACTAATGCTAATTCTACCAAGTCTCCTCTACAAAACGCTACTACTAAATACAAGTACATGCTCGATACTTTTCGCCCAATACAAAGTAATTTTGGTATCGATACTTTTAAACCGAGTACTGAGTTGGTATCGGAAGAAAGTACTTGTATTGAAACCTGATTCAGTCACAATTTTATTCCCGCTCTATTATTTCTTAATCTAATAATTATTGTGAATATGTAAGGTTTTTTGTAAGTTTAGTTGTCAATGAAAAGAAAGTGTCATCAGAATCGTTAACGGTTGAGAAAGTA